CTCCGTTGCTCTTAGCATATCCTGTGTCCGTTTCTTCAGCTGCCAAACTTCACATCCGTATGTTAATATACTTTTGACTACAGCGTTGTATATCCTCCTCCTGTTATCTTTGGAAATCCGCTGATCCCAGAGGATTCCATTTAACATCGCTATAGCCTTCCTTGCTAAGGTGTTCCTTTCCCTGATAGCTTGATCCGTCCTTCCATCCTGGGTCAACCGCACTCCCAAGTACCCCACTCCCAAGTTTCATTGATTTTTTATCAAGAGAAGGTGAAAGAAGCCAAAAAAGTTTTCAAAAAGCGCCAAGAAAATTAGATACAAAAAAAGAGGCAGACCGCTCCTTGAAATTATATTAATAATTAAAAGGAGAAACCGATTCAGTTAAATTTTGTTTTTGAAATCGAAACTAGAGCAATTACTGATTAAGTAGGATTCATGGATTTATTAATTTAACACTTCTAAAAACGAACAAGCTCTCACGAGCGTGAAACAAATCTGGCAAGGGTCGGCTAGTTACTTCCGTGATTTATTATTGCTTACGTTGTTCTTTTTGGATAAAAACAGTTTCTAGGGGATAAGTACCCTCTCTAGTTTCGATTTCAAGCACCAAAGGATGAATAAAATTTTTAAAATGATCGAATTCCACTTTACCCGCTCATTCCACTTTGCCCGTGGCCCCATAAGTTTTCACGGGCGCGAAACAAATTTGCGAAGGGCCGGTTTTCTATTGACGTCATTTTTTATTGGTTATGTTATTATTTTTTGCATAGAAACAGTTTCTAATGGACTGATACCCTCTCTAGTTTTAATTTTAACCACCAGGGTCGCCATAGGACGGACAGATTTTTTTAAAAGGCCAAATTCCACTTTGCCCGCCCGTTCCACGTTGCCCGCCTCTCCCCTAATTTTTAGTTTATTTTCCGACTGAAAATGGCTTAGTTTTGAGCCGAAACGTCTCGGCGTTTTGCTGTATATTTTTAGCTTTGTTTCCAGTTTTCCCCTTCTTTTTCTATGTTTCCCTGATCTTTGCCTTAAGTACTTTCACGTCTTAAACTGTCAATATATACTCCTTACACAATCAACACTTCTCGTAGATCAATTTTCTTCAAATATAAAATCAAGGAAGTGGCCATGAATCGAAACGATTGCGTTACTTATCCTTGTCTTGATACTTCATGCCATAAACACACAGTCACTGAATTCGAATTTTTAAAAATTTGAAAGAAGCGTAGTAGTAAGTACCTTCTTCAAAGGAGGCCATGTTTCGCTTTGTTCCTCTCCAATAGTAGGTGTACTCAGCGCGGCCTTATCTATCTCCACCAATCTGTCATTGTGGGAACAGTGAAGTTCCTGTAGAGCAGGTAATCCATTTAAGCCCCCTTTCTCGATTTTCTTGAGCAAGGGCATCCAGCTGATGTGGAGAACTTCCAACTTTGGTAAGGCTGGGAAGCTCCTACGCATGGAAAAATAGAAGAAAAAAAACATTTAAATGTGTAGTGACTGAATAGGTAGAATTAGGAGACGGGATTATATTCGTATTGAGAATTTTGAAAAAATACCTGAGTGCAATAGTCCAGGACTGCTAATTATGTCACATGGGCGTGAAATGAAAAAGAAAGGATGAAGTCTAGATAGAAGGAAAAGAAGGGAATGAAAAAGGAAGAAAAAGAGGAGGAGAAAGAAGGAGATTAAGAAGACGAAAAAGAAAAGGAAAGAATACAAGATCAGGAGGAAGAGGCAGGAGACTCATGAAAAGGTAAAGATATAGCATAAGAGGAAGAAAATAAAGAAAAAGAAATTCCTCCTCTTTTTAGGCCTCTGATGCCTTTTTTCCGTTTTCTACTTCTCTTCCTTTTTCCTTTCTTAAATTTATATCTTATCCATTTGACATACGTGATGAGTTCTACATTCCTGCTTTCACACATTTTTTCCAAATTCTCGGCTATAGTTGTGACCCTATTGATGCTTAACTGTCTCTAAATGGCAAATATGATGGAAGATAAGGTTAGAGCAACGGCAAAATGGGTTTCTGACTCATTAAATTAACCCAGGAAGTGACATGACGCACATTAATACGAGCAAAAATTTAAACTCTGATTACGTTAAAGGTACAAATACGTCACGTTTGCAATTTATCAGATAACGCTAGGTAATGCCATTGCGTGATGTCATTCATTCATTTATGTCAGTTACTCGTGAAAGTTGTCACCTCATCTGGGCTGAACTTATCAGTCCCTAAATAAGCCAAAAATGTCGGTCGCTCTTGACAGAATTACAAAAATTGATTAATTTGTAAGCTAAAAATTTATTTTCGCGTTCATTGAGATACGCGGGATTTTTTACACTGAAAGTTTGATGAGGAATTAGGCAACAAAGCTATGATTATTTGTGATCTTCTGTTTTATTTTTTAACATCGTGTTTATGACAAGTTCTTTGACCTGAAAATTGAATGCTTCGCAAGAAAGTGCTCTGCAGATTTTAAAACACTTGCGACAGCCAATGGTCTCGAAGATAGGTTTGCCTTTTGTGTCGCCGATTGTTTAATTCATCTTACAAAGGTTGTTGGTTCACGCTTCCAATTTTAACTCTGACTTTTGATTTTTATTGATGGGTTCTTTAAAATTACTGAGCTATTGATTGACAATCTCTTTCGTCCTTGAAGTAATTTTTTCTTACCACGTGAACAGAAGTTCCGGGTCATTTGCATTAGGAAACAAGAAAGTGAAGAAAATAAAGCAAAAAAAAGAGAGAGATGAATTAAAAAGGGCGTTTTCCAGGCTTTCATAAAAGGAAATTGGAATCAATAGCCAAACAAGTTAATCTAGAAAAATCCAGCCGTACTTCATTTTATTTGCCTTTATTAGAACCAGATTAAAAAGAAAGTAAACATCCGTTTCAATGCGAGGGGTGACAAAAAAGCCAAATTGCTTAATCCTGTGTGGGATGCCAATTCAGGACCTTGCGTGATGCAGATTCAACCACCGCACCATGAGAGGCCTGTTCTGTCTTGCTAGGTAAAATTGACGTAAAAGTATTCGGATGTTGCCAATTTTTTTCTTTGAAACTATTTATTTTTTTAGGAAAGTTACGAAAATTTTTCTTTGAAATTATCAGACTTTTCAGATCAAATTACAAATGAAATCCTTTAAAAAAATCGGAGGAGAAATATTCACAAATTTTCCTGATTTTTTAAGGAAATTTGACAACGCTTGATGGCCCACTCGGCGTTTTTACTGAGCACAGCAGTGTTCTATCGTTAATAGCTGATTAAAAAATTATTTTTTACTATTTAAAGAGGCCCAGGAATCCCATTATAAAGCAAATGGCAGTTGGAAGGAAACATAAGGAAAATCTTGTCGAAACTTGGAGATTACCTGACAACCTCAATTGGATTGCTGTCAAGAATGAGATGTTTTAAGGCATGTGAGTCACCTAATCCTTCGGGCACGGATGTGAAATTGTTCCGCGAAAGGTTGATCGTCGACAGATTGCGTGGTGTGTGTAGCATGCGTTCTGGAATCTCGCTGATCCCCGTATTGGACAGGTCCAGAGTCTGGAAAGTCATTTCAGAAAACTCAATTGAAAGAGGTAAAGGGCAATGAAAGGCGGATCTGCACTGATTTTATTTTTTTTAAAAAAGAAAAATATTCATCAGTTTTTCAGTATGACGAGATATTACGGTTAGTTTTCTTTTCAAATAAATAAAACGTTACTGGAGGTCTTTGAACGTTTCAATGGGAAGAAGCATTTTGAGAAAAACCACGTGTCTCGTTAGGGGTGTTTGAAAATCTCCACTGCAATTTTATTTTTTTTTTACGGAGAAAAAATTGGACCGCGTTAAGCAGAAAGAGAGCAAGCCACGTCAGCTATAGTCTTTAGCTGGGCAATTTAATTTTTTAAATACAAACTGTTGTGCGGATTTTTGTGCGAATTGCAGCGAATTTCCTGCTTAGCACGAAGTAAATTCCTTAAAATTTTCAAAGGAATCCGCAAAAACGTTCTCTTGTAAAAAATGTAATTGCCCAGTTAAATTTGACAATAGCTTGTGTGGCTTGGTTCTTTTTCGCTAAACGCGGTCCAATTGGCATCATTCCTTGAACTTTTCGCAGAATTTTCTTCACACAGAGAAGAATAATCTCGGCAGTTTTTAAAAATTTTCGTTGTGTAGTTTTCCATTTAAAGAATGAAGTAAGACAGGAAATCTGCACCGTAAAAAATCTGAGATGGTGGTTGCGAACTTACAACGTCGATTTGTCATACATAGCGATTGATATGTGATGAAGTCACGCAAAGCAGGATGTGAGGTGGGGGTGGAGGGGGGGGGCTCTCAATAGCTATAGGTAGTGCCATGCTAATTAAAAACGCCACCATAATTTTTCCCAAAAAATATTTATTTCTGATAAATGCTATGAATTGTTTCCATGAGATTTTCATGTATTTTGGATTAAATGCTGGAAAAATCTTCAGAAACTTTCAAAGGAAAATGTTCACAAGTTTTTGCCTTGATTTGAATTTTATTATAAAAAATTTGGAACGAGCCGAATGTTCACAGGGTGTTTTTCCTTAGCACGGCGGTGTACCACAGCCTAAGTTCATCATTTGAAGCAGAGGACACAAAACAATTCCATCGATCAATGATGAGGTAATATAACGAAAGACATTGCTAAAAAGGAGAGAAAATCGGCGCGCCTTCAATATTTTATGTATGCAATATGGACACCCGTCGAGTAGATATATAGTCGTATCAAATATCATCAACGAGCGTATGAACGTCAGTGCGCCTTCAATTCTTTGTTTATGCAATGAGGACATCCGTTGAGCAAGTTTAGTTGCATCAACAGCCTTCTCATCAACGTCTCATCCCTGCGTCTATCAACCGACGTAATTTTGTCAACGGAGGTTGTTTCATCCTGCCTAATTATTCGTCGACTAGAAGGCGCAATAGTCTCTCTTTCTCCGTGTTTATTTGATTTGTGCTACGTGCGAGAACCAAGGTGTAAAATTAACACAGCACCCTGCATCCTGTTGTTGCTAATGATGGAAATAAAAATCGCAGGCCTCAACAAACAATAAATCAGGCTTCTTCAATAAGATAAAAAGAAAACGAAGTAATCATAAGTGTATCGTTAATGAATAATTATGATACCTAGCAATAAAATATCTCAAACGTTTTATAACGTCGCGATAATCGATGCCTTGATGATTCTTGAAGAATTATTATCTAATGTTTTTCAAAAGTGAGAAAGAGCCATGGCAAATGAAAAATTCAAGTTCAAATAAAAAATTAAGCTGTTAGGTTTTAGAAATCACTCACGTGCAATGAAAAAATGGAGGAAAAAGCGATGATTGTAGGTTTGTCAATATGCTTCAAAGGATTAGATTCGAGAATCAAAGATTCTAAATTGGGGAGATGTTCGAAAACATCAGGATGCAATGTGTGTAAATCGTTGTGCCCGAGTCGCAGGACCCTTAAATTGTGCATCGGTTGATACTCGTTGGCCATGTACATGCCCTGCAAATGAAAGAAAAATTATTTCAATGGACAGAAGCAGGACTAAAAATGAGATCAGGTGGAATGATAAACATACCTACCTGGAACTGCGGAAGTTTCATGGGAATATTGTTAGGAAGACATGTATTAAGATATATAGACGGTGTAAGTCGGCAATCACATAACTCGGTTTGCGACGTCGCAGACTTCCTGTCATACTTTATTTTTTAAACGGAAAACTACTCAACGGCAATTCTTTAAAACTGCCATGATTTTTCTTCTCTGTGTGAAGAAAATTCTGCAAAAACTTCAAGGAATGATGTTAATTTGTTCTTCTTTTAAAAAATAACATAGAGGCAGAGATTTTCAGACACCGCAAACGAGATATGTGATTGCCGACTTACACCGTCGATATATTAATGGACCAGTATGAAGTTCTAAATATGTTCATCATATTTAACCAATCGATGCTTGCAATCATACTTTCGGCACTTATCGCTTGGATAACATGAAGGCGTCAGCAAACATTGAGATGAGCCCGAAAAAACATTGAATTGTACGGAAGACAGGGTTCTTTGCAGGGTGCAGTTACACCCTTTGTGGCCGTATTTGCGGCTTATGCAGCCATACCTACTTTTGGTTCATATTGCTGAGAATGACTGAATAACTGAAAATGACTGCATTTTCTCTAATGTTTTATTTCTTATACTAAACTAAGCAACATTGAAACTGGAAATTTTGAGGGTATAAGACTCATAATCTAGAGTAAATACACAAAAAGTTAGAATGCATCAAGTAGTATATTTCTCTGTTACAAAAATATGAAATAGAGAAAGTTAGGCAACGTAAAATGCATAAATCCGTTCGTGTATATATACACATAAAAACACGTTTATGTAAAGAAAAATCAATTATTCATACGTAGTTCCTGCAACTAGTCAAAGTAGACAATTTCTCTTTAGTTATCGGTTTGGGTAACCTCCGTCAGTAAAAGAGAGACTGTTCAATGCCTAAACATCAATCACAACACATCTCATTTTTTGGGGAGCTTGCCTAACATTTTTGGATGAGTGTGTGTGGCATTAATTATTGAGGACGTATCGAGATATGGTGAGCCAATACTGGACGTAAAAGTAGAGGCGGCTAACTAAATATGACTGTGCCAACAGAAAGGTCAGAATCAGCTACATCCAGTGTTGCACCTATCATTTCGCTATCAGCGTATCATTTTTAATGGCGAGGATTGCGCACATTCAGATTTCTGTTGAGAGCTGAAGGTTCAAAAAAATTGAAGCTGAGAACGTCGAGAAGAGAGGGGGTCGGATTATTACGTACTTTTCATCCTCAATTTGATATTTAGGAGAAAATACTCTTTCCCATCGAAGCATCAGAATGGGCTGTACGACGTTTTTTAAAAAAAATTGAGGATATGTCGCAGGCAATTTAGCAAACGCCGGCAATTTGCAAGAGGTGCATGTTTCATGCAGATGAAACGCAATGTTGCACATCAGCATAATGAAGGTTCGATGGGTAATGAATAGCGGTGGAATGGCTTGTTATGCGATTTATCGTTTGATCTACCATTTAAACCTACAGAAAAGGATAGATAAACAGGATGTTTGCAACGAACACTTTAATAATAGATTCTTCAACACAGCTTCAAATGAGGAAATATCGATAAAAGATCATTGAAACCTCGCCACTGATGGGTAATGTGCCTTCATATTAATGATCTCGTCTTGGAGTGCCTTCATTTTGTGTGATACTATACGTGCTGTCACGGAGTTAGTTTAGTTGCATGTCCGATCTGAACCCAACTAAGGTCACTACAGATTTTCCCACAAGCTCTCCAGAGCGTGCCTGTTGCTAGCATGCATTTACGGAGGAAAAATTGCTCATTTATGCTTAGGGAAAAGTAATCAGCACTCAAATCTTGGTTATTTATTCCTGATTTTTATGCTTTTCTATTTATACACGAGTGGCTTGCAAATTTCCGGGGATTGCGTTGCTTGCACACGTCTCCATTCTCAAGTCATCGAATTCTAATCGTTGAACAGGTTTAATGGCTTATGTGGTGGAGTCAGGTAAAATTAAAGAACAAATAGCTGTTGCCTGCTTCAGCAACAATTTATTCTAGACGCATATTTAACATCATTGACGATGAAAATTATATTTTAAAATTTTGACCCGATGTTCCAAGAATTATTAAAAAGCATTATTTGAGACGAAAACTATAAATCAATATCCTTGACCAAAAATCGATTTATTCGCTATTCAGAGCAATTTTTGTAGGGGTCGGACAAAATGTGCGTAAAGGTGAAAACTCAAATTGTTCAATCAAGAAAAAACACGGTTTAGGATCAAGATTATTGCTTTTTTTGGATGCTAAATAATTATTAATAATTGTGTTGATAATCCCGCCAACGTGCGTTCAAAATCCTGTATAAAAAAGGTGCCTCATTATGGGGAGAAAAATCTTATTGAGGTACCAATTTTTTTCTCAGACCCGAAACGGGTTTGCAGTTCCTTCTTGATTAGTAGTATCTAGTGTTGCACCAAACAGCACCTCTCGTGAGAAAAAAATGTGTGCCCGGATGAGCTTTTTTTCCTCTTGAAATCAATTCTAGAATGACTTTGAATACACGTTGGCGTAATCACTTACACTCTTTCCAAAACGACTCTTCGTGCGTCGAACCTCTATCTGTTTTGGTAACTTTTCAATACTTTCAAGAAAATTTGCTCAAAATTTCACTCCATCATTCGCATTATTAATGATGTTTTGAGCGTGAAACTAGATACTTTCGATGAGTGCATAACAGAGCTGGTAGACGTGAACATTGAACAACGCATTTCTCGTGAGTCTTAGTTTTCTGTCATGAAGTCAATGATAGTATTTTACAGTATTTCTTATGTCAAACGTGGTGAACGCGCAATGCGGGAAGTATTCCTACAATCGTGTAGGCGCTAATATGCGCTGAGCGCGCACCGTGGTATACGTGCAATGCGTGAGGTATTCCTGCAGTCTTGAAGGCGCTAATATATTTACCTTTTCTAAGTTGATGCATTTTTGCTTAAAAGAACTATGTTGCACACTCTATGCACATAGTTCTTTTTAGCAGTTTAGTTGTTTTTTAGTTGATCCCCTGTTGTCGTTTAGTTGGTTCCAGTTGTGGTGTAATTATCTCATTTCCCTCCACCTTAAGGCAGAGAGTACTTGGATTGCATTTTGCAGAAAGGAACCACTAGCATTGCAATGTTGCTAAGATTGTGCAACTTCTTTTGTCTTGGAGGAAAAACCTGATTATCCATTAATAGTTTCTATTTTACTCGCTAAAAACTGTAAATTTCAGACAAAAATTACCATCTGAATTTCATAGTTTTTCACGATTTCCGCAATTTTATTGTAAAAGATGAAGTTGCACAATCTTAGCATCATTACAATTCTAGTGGTTCCTTTTTGCAAAATGCAATCCACTTGTTGTCTGTCGCCATCACGTCGTCTCCCAGACGAAGGAACGTGAATTTATTCCTAGGTTGCCAAACTAACTCAAACAATTAATTTTTTTCACAAAAATGTATCCCTGCCATTTTTATCTAAAATTTGTCCGATTTTCGCATGAAATTTGAGGAAAATTCAAATAGATTTTCAGTCAGAAATGGCCGAGGTTCTGCCCGTTAATATGCAATTTGCGAGGGGAAATTTAGCAAAATTCAAATGAAGTTACATTTCTTCGTGAGGATAACAACGATCTGACTTTTCACCTTGCGGGCCCTTCCTCTGACTCCATCTCGCACGGACGTATTTAAAGTAAAAGGAACTACTTCTATCGTGACATGGGCCTTGTCACGCATGTATTCTTATTAGACTTAGGGGCCCTGTCATAATGTAGATAGTTCCTTTTCATTAAAATACGTTCATAACAGCCGCCATGGCTTGCACTTCAGAATCGATAACGCCCCCCCCCCCCCCCCCCCCCCCNCCCTCGCATCTATTTACATGCTCCCCGATGCGCAATACGCAAGCTCCAAAACAAACAAACCTTAAAGACATGCGGCTTCAGCTTATCGGAAGTCAAGAGGTTATGACTCAAGTCGAGCACCTCCAGGAGTGGCAGGTTGGCGAACGCGCCGACTTTAATTTCGGCGATCCTGTTCTCGTTCAGTCGCAGCGTCCTCCAGTAGGCCAGCGGAAAGTCCGTCTCTACTTTCTCTATGTGGTTGAGCATGAAGTTGGCCTCCGTGTAGTTCCTCAAAGGTAGCCGGAGAACGATATTAAATGTGTCGGATGACGTCACGGAGCAGTCGAGAATGCCCTCGCGGCAGTCGCAGACGTTGCACTCGGTCGGATGCGCCGCGGATGTCGCGCCTTCGATCCACTTGACCGGCAGCACGCAGAGCAGCGTCAGGTGCGCCAGGAGAACCCGCATCTCGGGCGTCATGGAGACATTCAGTGCGGGAGTGCCGGCCGGCGATGAATATGAATCACCGTGACGTAGAATTACGTGACGTAATCACATCCGAAACGGTTTTTGTGGCTCTGGAGGAAGGAAGGCAACGCCGCGATGGAGTGGCTGTAACTTTGCAGTCGCCGGTCTGTAGCGAACTGTGCGACGCAAGTGCACTGGGATTATCGTCACGTGCACTTGTAATTAATGTTCACCGCGGAAATGTTTCGATGGCGTTCAGATAAGACCTAGGTACCTCGATATTATCGTTTCTTGTGATAAGAACGAACTTTTAAGAAAAATTGAAGGAACTCGAGTTGAGAACTATGGAAGGAACAATTCAAATTATTGGTGGAACGATGATCGCACACTACTCTGCAGTATTTCATTGGGAAGCCAAGGATGTTGGAGGTTGATGACCCTGTTTCGTTTTTTTTTGTTTTTTTTTTGAATTAACTAATGAAAGGCTTGTAGGACAATACGCATAAGTGCAGTTTTTGCTGTTTCGAGAAATACATGTTTGAAGTTTCAAAATTACATGGATCCTTATGGCAGAAGGAAAGTTCAAACTGACATTTTGATGCTTAAAAAATTGGAATTTAGGAGCGAATTTCTCACAGAAAATGCATGAAGACTTGAAATCATCAATAATGTCTCAGTTTTTTTCAAAAACTGGTCTTGTGCGCCTTGTCCTCCAAGCCCATCAAATGAGATATTTGCAGGAAAATTTGTCAGAGGGGGTACTTTTTAAATTCTGCGGGTCACTTTTTTGCTCGCATATTTTAGTTTAAAGTTCAAGAAAATCAAAAGCAAACGCGTAATTTTTTCGCGCCCTATATCTCAAAGAAGTCACTGAACTTCTTTAGCTGCGGCACTTTTTATTCACTATGATTTGCAATAATTTACAGTAAAAAAAAAACTCCTATTCGTTAATGTCGGTTTAAACCCGTAATCGAGCATCGAAATCATCGCAAACAACGTCAAACTAATCCTATCAACATCAAACCCCTCTAAATACTGCAGAGTAATGCGCAACATATGCTCACTATCAAACCGGCAATTTCATCGGCTTCCCATTTTCTGTCTCAATTAATTTGCCCACTCATCGAACACACGTATCATCAAACCGTAATTATCAAACGATTTAAACACATTTCAATCCCGCACTATCAGGAGCAAAACGCCCCTCACCCTCGCTTCAACACCATCCATTCAGATCATAAAACCCCCGTTTTTTCACACACACACGCGTTTTAAAATCAGATTCCACCTCACCGTCCGCACGAACTCGAGACTTGCACTGGGATTGCACGTGATTGCACAGGGTTTCGCACGCGATTGTACCCGATTGCACAGGGTTCGGCGCGTGATTGGAGGAGGGTCGACGCGGGGTTTCAGGAGGGCGGAAGCGGAAACACGCGGGTTCGGATCCGTGGCGCGGGACACAATGGCGGTCAACGCACAACGAGATCGGCGGCGCTACGAATTACGAAGGATTCCTCGACTTTCAAGTGGGGAGATAAGATAGAAGCCGGAGGTGCGCCCGCTGGGAGCCCATGGCACCCGCCCGAACGGTCATATAGGTCTTGAGTATGCTGCGCTATTACCCGTTTATCACCGATAAGCGGGCCGGAGAGAATAGGCGCTAACACCTCGGAATCGTGAAATGGATCGTCTGTGACACAATTTTTTGCTTCTCGGCGTCGCGGCGCGGGCGCGGGAGTGGTGACTCATCGACGACGCGGCGTCGCTTTGTTTACTAACCTTGTCGCCGCGACGCGACGCGGCCCGATGCAAGCCCCAGGCCCGATCGCATCGCTTCTTCCATCTTCGTTTCACTCTCACTTGGCTCAGGTGAACGTAGACGGCGCGGCGCGGCGTGTCCGTGGCTCCCGTCGTCCATGTGACCGGCCACGCAACTTCCTCGGATACCCCTCCCCCTCCCCCTCCCCCACCACTTGCGGCGGAAAACCGCACGCTGTTGGTCCGACTCGGACAGCAAGGTCCCCGCGGGTGAATGCTTCGAGGCTGGTTCTGCCTCTTCGCGTTGTGACGTAAGCCGCAATCCGACTCTCATAGATGAGCCATGATTTGGATTGCATTTTGCAATTTGGAACTATAGATTCTGACGCGGTTTAAAAACAACGTATGTGCCGTTGCTTCCCCTATGCACATAAGTCTTCTTTCAAATGAGCCAGGATCTATAGTTCTAAATTGCAAAATGCAGTCCATTTGACTGCATTTTGAAACGAGGAAACTCCGATACAAGTACGCTGCCGAGCTAAGCTGCTATGCTAAGGTAAAACGCCGTATGAGCCTTCAGGCGTTGCCAAATTTCCTTCAACAAATCACGAATTTTCGGGACAATTTGTACCCGCTTTACCTCCAATTTTTCGGATAATTTTATTCGCAATTTCACTTGAATTTCCTGAAAATTCAAAGGAGAAACATCCATAGCTTTCTTCAAAAATAAACATTTTATCGAAGGGAATTTGGCAACTCTCAATTGTTCATGCAACGTCCCTCCTTCGCAAGGTAGTTCGGATATTTGCCATCCTCCTACTCTACCGTGCTTTGGAAAAACGTCATATGAGCCTTTAGGTGTTGCCTCGATGAAAACCCGAATTTACTAGAATTTTTTTTATTGTTTTGCTTCAAATTTTTCAGACGATTTTGTTCGAAATTCGATCTAAAAAACCTGGAAATTTCAAGGAAATATATGAGTAACTCTTCTAAAAAAACATGATTAATCCGGGGAAATTTGGCAACTATCGAATGTTATTACGGCGTTTTTCCTCAGAATGGCAGTGCTGTATCCTCTGCAAAAGAAGGGGTATCAATGTAAGGGCCGTTTCTGGGCCCACTCTGAACCCAAGTAGCATTCTTCTATCGTGACTGTTATCCGTGCGAAACTTATTGAATTCACAACTGCTTTTGAGTGAGTTGCGATCTTGTACACGGCGGCTCTCTCAGTCTTGAATGAGAATAAGATGCCCAAAGCAAGAAGACTTAAAAACCACGATCTGAACAGAGCGTTTTACGCTCTATTTTGAAATAAAACTTACAGAAAGAAAACTTGCAACGTGCAATAATGTACTTCGTGCATTTTTCAAAAATTAGGGCTCGATTGAAGACTCCAAAATTCTGAAAATTTCTGGTCAACGTCGTTGTACAGGGCCACTCAGATACGATGCAGAAGAGCGCCTTCAACCCACTGCGTAATCTCAATGCGAAATTCTGATACCACTATTCGAGCGTCACGACAGTAATTTTGCATAGCCCGCCAATTGAAGGCAAATCATTGACTCAGGCAACAGGGTACGACTTTCAGCAATGTGATACATGTTTTTTGGGGAACAAAACCTCAGGTGGCCCACCTGGCATCCATGACGCCTAACCCCCCAGGGGCTGCCCCACCTGATATCCAAGAAGTCGAACCCCCACGGGCAGCTCCCCTTGGCATCCAAGGAGCTCTACTCCCCGGGGGATGCCTTATCTGACATCCATGGAACCCAACCCTTGGGGCTGTCCCCTAGGGTGTCCCATTTTGGACGACAAAAAAGAAATTGCGAAATCCAACAGAGATACTTGCCAAAAACTTGTCTCATGGTTTCATGTCAACTGGGCCAGTGCAATCATGAACGCTTTGCGCCGCTAGTAATAGGTACCTAAGAAAAGACACTGGAGAGCCTACGAGTGATAAGCATTCGGCAACTTTTCAAAACCAGAGAATTTCCAAAAATTTAGAAAAACACAGAGCAGCTGATCAGCTTACGTATGCTGTAAGCAGGAAACACCGAGGAGAGCGCGTTGTGCGTATGGCGCGCCGAATCAAATGAAGGGGCCAGAACGAGATACGTACTTCTGCACTTAAGCCCGAGATACGCGAAAAAAGCTCTCCGGTTGTAGGTGACTTCCGGATTTTTTTCGATTATAGTCTCTTGCTGGCAGATAGACGACATCTTCAACAACACGTCGCGTCTATGCAGCTCACTGAAAACTGTCAAAAATTTAGATACGCACCTTTGCTCTTTCACCACATAGAGTACGTAGAGTCGTAATGTAAGTGGGTGAGCTGGCGCCACTTTTAAGCATTTTCCAGGTCCCGAATTCCGAGACTCCTGTGTGACGCCGGGTCACTTTTTCGATACATAATCGATTGTTTGCGATACACGGGTACCCGGCTATCCGATGTAGACAAAGAAGATAGGAATCACCACGTATTCCACACCACCATTTTGGATCGAACATGTATCGAAAAAGTGACTCGAACTCGGCGCACACCGGGCTCGGAACTCGTCGAGCAGAACATGGCGCCAGCTCTCCCATTTACATTACTACTCTAGGTATGTACTCTATGTTTCACCATTGATATGCGTAACTGAAGTTAAAACTCATAAGCTATAACAAGAACTTGAACGTTTGAAGGGTCCTTAACTACCTCATTCAGTTTAAACCGGAGACAATACCTGCAAAGATGAATCGAGGGGCTTGGAGGACAAGTGGGATACGTGCAGGGCCGGATTAAGGGGGTGGCCACATGGACCGCGGCCCATGGCGGCAAATTTAGGGGGCGGCAAATTTTGCAATTTTTTTAAATGTGGGTATAAAAAAAATCGGAATCAGAAAAAAAAATTATCAATGAGAAAAGGGGACAAAATCTCTCTTTCCTAAGAATATAGTAATTTCTAATTGTATCGTTTTTCGGAGATAAAAGAGACAGCGTCTTTAATTAGTCGAGTTAAGAGAGGAACTAAGTACGCAATTTTCCCCGGAGCTCAGCGCAGAGAGGAATGATGACGAGGACTTGAGATGAAAAGGACAATGAAAAGGACAAGCCCTCGGCACGGCACGGCGGTCGACATGTAACACATATTAGCGCCTACAAGACTGCATGAATACTTCATTCATTGCGTCAAACACAGTGCGGTCTGGAGCGGTTGGCGTGAAACGCGTAACGCCTACAAGACTGCAGGAATACTTCACGCATTGCGCCAAACACAGTGCGATCACCCCGGCGCGGCGCGGCGCAGCGGCGGACGTTAACCAGTATTAAACCACATTTATGTTTGTTCTTTCAATTTTTTGGTTCATTTCTTATAAATGGAGGACCTTGTCTACACAGAGATATGTTTACGGAACTTAACTTTCGCGCAAAGTTCCGTGAAATTTTGCTAGTAGTGTTGACAGGGCTTTCGCAAAAAATGTGTCCAACCCGAGTAGGTAAACGCGTCTTATGCACCCCTCCCCCTCTGGCACATTCACTTGATGGTTTTTATTGATGTTCCAAAACGAATGAGAAGGGGGCGGCAAAATACAGGTGGCCCATGGGCGGCAAGTAGATAAATCCGGCCCTGTGTGCAGTTTTTGCTATTTCAAGAAATACGTGTTTAAAAGTTTCAAAATTATGTGGAACTTTATGGCTGAAAGAAAGTTCAAACTCGCTTTTTGATACTTAACAATTGGATCTAAGTAGTGATTTTTCCACAGAATATATTTTGAGACTCGTTCTAGTTGAAATCATTAATACCTAAATTTTCTCAAAAACTGCACTTATCCCACTTGTCTTCCAAGCCCCTCACGTACAATAAGAAATCTAATTTAAAAAGCTAGGTATTGCAATCCAAATTAAATCCAGTGAATAGGCAGCATTTTTTATTTACTTAGCGTAAAAGCATCTGATCAAGGTAGTTGTCGCTCTTTTTTTCCCGCTCATAAAATTTGAATTAAAAAGAGCGCGTTTGTAGGAACCGCGCTTTTGAGAAGGAACCGATGGATAAACGATGAATGGTGACGTGTGGGGAAATTTTGAAGTCGCGGGATTTTGTTGTTTACAATTTTTTGTGATAACGGAAAATGTTCATTATCTGAGTCTTTACCGCACAAATCTCCAGGACAATTCTCAATATTTGTCAATATTTCCAATAAATTCCAATCGAATGTCGTCAAAGAACCCCGGTATTTGCCTTATGGAATCACATCTAGTTTGTGCCTTGAAGCTGTTGCCTTTCCTTGCGAATTTTGTCTAGCATTTGTGCCTTGCTTCACACTGACCTTAGCTCTCTTGTCTCTCACTGTTCTCAATCTATTCATCCAGGTAATGTGCTCATTATATCTTTTCTTAATCAAGATTGGATTCCTTTCCTCAATGTAAATGTCTTATCTCTCTTGTCTTAGTGTGCTTTCAAGCGGAAAATGGAACTTAGCCGCTGACTTGACAGCTAACCAAGTAACTCTAGCCCTAAATTTCAGCTCCTACCGAACTCAGCCTAAGTAGTCTCCGATTGCTGCCAAATGTATATATTGTCAATACTAGTGGCAAGATCTTCCATCGGATGTAGTGTATCCAAATACATAGAGTACCGAATCGATGTTGAAGTCTTTGGAGTTGGAAGTTCAACAGTTTTGTCTGAACTAGGACACAGACTTGCTGACCACATGTTCATCAGTTCTGCTTGAAGCCCTAAAGAGAACCCGCTAAAAATTGTGATGAACTTACCGTATGGTTAATTTTAGTTTTTTAGCTAACTACCAGAGCTGATCTAAAATACGTTAGCTGCTGTTCACTTGTGTGTCTGGAGATCTGCCATCGTGATTTCTGTTGTTAGTTATGGTGCAGTCATGAAGTTGGTGGATCTTCTAGTGCTCTTCATTGATTGACCACCCTGTTTGGCATTACCTTTCAATCAAACCTCCTTGTACTGAGCTACAAGTAGCATACTATCTCTAATTGGTACACTAACTTATCAAGACTTCACACATCACCATTTGTGCAGTCTCTACCAACAAGATAAGACTCCATTGTTGGAATTTTTGCAAACAGATTGATACCATTGCGGTCTATTGAAGAAGGTAATCGACAGTGTAATTCGGCAATCACCTAACTTGTTTGCGATGTCTGAAAATCTCCGCCTCTATGTCATTTTTTAAAGGAGAGCAAATTGACATCATTCCTTGAAATTTATGCAAAATTTTTTGCACAGAGAAGAAAAATCAAGGTAGTTTTAAAGAATTACCGTTGAGTAGTTTTCCGTTTAAAAAAATAAAATGTGACAGGAAGTCTGCGACGTCGCAAACCGAGTTATGTAATTGCCGACTTACACTGTGGTAATTTGCTTCTTTTCTTGAAAAATAAATGGGCTGTAAGTGAATAATTTTTTATATTATATTGACTGTCACTTGGTAACTCTGGAACTTGGCACTCAATTTAAGTTTTCTATAGTAAGCCTGCCTAGCAAGGTAACATACCAAGAAGTGTAAATTTACTTTCTTCGAAAGTTCTTGTCTTGTAAATGTATGCATCTCGCAAGTGGTATTGAAATTTTTTTTGACAGTACTGCAGGCTTTCTAATGTCAGTACCTAGCTAGGCTGCAGGCTGGTTTTTTAACTCCAACTGGATACTAATATCGACTAATTTCTCAATTATCATTCCAGAACAATGCATAAACCTCAGTATACTTCCTGCATCTATATTGGTGGACTTCCCATCTTACCCCCATTGGTATGTAACGATTAATCTACCCTCAATTGCAGCTGAGAGAAAACATTTTCATGTCTTATCTGCTAAATTCACTAGGTTTACCGATTAAAACACAATTATACTCAGATTCACGCATGTGAAAAACTCAGGAATTGAAAGAACAATTTAACATTGCGTCTGTCTTCAAAGACAAAATTTACAATAGGTAGAGTGATTTTATTCAACTGGGATCAAAAGATCAAATTTTGCAATTTTCATTAAATTTGTCACCAAGATTGCAAGCTGAATCTAAATCCTTTGGAAGAAGGAAAACGTTTACAAATATTAAACAAATTGGTCAGCAAATTTTTGGCCTCCAGTATATTAAACGCTACAATGAAAGAAAAAAAAGAATTAGGGAAAGTTCCAGGGCATACACAATGGCAACAGTACCGCGGTGAAAATGGCTGGGAAACAGCAGCTTCTCGCCAATATCATTAACTGTAATTCTCTGTCAGGGCAAAAATGTCCCATTTTTCCTGTGTCTAATTTAATCGCACAGAAAAATAAAATTGTATTTAAATTATTGATGCTTCAGTTCCCTCCCCAAAAGTGGTATGTAGAACAACAAAATTTTAGAGAAAAAATGTAGAATTAACGATGCTTTGTTGGTAGTCGCATTTACCTTTTATATCTTAACTGGTCAGTTGGTCAAAATTACAGGTTCTAGCTCTAAAATATTGGTTTCTTTTTCCTGCTTGCATCTCCATTTTTTCTTGTTGTTGGAGTTTTTAAAAAGTTTATTTAAAAAAATTATTTTCTTCTCAACTTCATGGCGTCCTCTTCATTTTTTTCTCACCTTTAACCAACGAAGACTGTATCAACTACATTTATTCAGCATTCTATGTAGATGTAAATGTACTCTGTTGAAATGGTGCACAAATTCATTGGAAATGTCTTTGAAAAATAATTTCAAAAGCTACTCAGAAAGACCTCAAAATAAAAGCTATATGCTACGTAGAAAGTCTTCGAAAGTCCTCTACCAATAACAGTGTGTCACGATGTAAACTTAAATTCCACTCTCTTTGTCCCTTAACTTTAAAGTACACCGAGAAAAAAAACACAGTTATTCTACCGTTACAATGGTAGTAATGTCACACAGAATTCCACGTTAGTAGAACCATGGATTTTGATTCTTGTAACGATGAGCACGATGATATGACCGTGTTCACCGTAATATTACTGTGGGCACAGACTTAGTATAATGAGCATGGTTATGCTACTGTGGTCTTAATAATATTACTGAAATCCACGGTTCCACTGCCGTGGAATCCCGTGTGACATTATTACCGTGGTAATCGTCGAATAACCGTGTTTTTTTTCTCCGTGTAGAAGAGAAAGTCTTTTTTCGAACTTTTTGATATTTCCTGCTTAATATTTTACTCTGATTCAGTCTCATAATTCATTTTGTTTATTTTATAGATGACTGCTGAAATTCGGCAAGAAATGCAGAAATATAAACAGCTGGCTGCTGGAATCGAGCAAAAAATATCTCAAAGAAAGGACTCGTTCACTCAGTCTGAAGCCATCGATTCAACATCTGACCCTGTAACTTCAGTAATACCCATTGTTTCAGATTCTCAGCAATTTTTTCCTCCAGAAAATAATGAAGTTGATCACCCTAAAGACTCCCCTAAAACAGACATTGACAACCAGAGTATTAACGAAAATGATAAAAGTCTCAACCGTTCTGTGCGTCGAAACTCATACACGCTGGAGACTCCAAGTCCTCAGCTCATGGCTTTGCTGCGATCAAATCAAATTGAAGATGTGAGCATCAGTCAAAACTCAAATTCTGAATCCTTCACTGAAGTGTCAAAATTGAGTAATAGCGCCAAGAAACAGAGGACTTCATCCGGTCAGTGTTACAATGCAAACTATGATGTTAGTTGTCCAAATCACAAACCACCTGAGTCAAGCACAGGTGCACTTTCCACAGCTAGCGATAATGAAACTATATCTTCTGACATTGAATCGATCGTCACTTTGGATGAATCTGCCAAACGTGTTGTCGATTCACGCAGTCAGATCTCCTGTAACAGTGAATCTATTCCTAATCAGTTAGTCCATGATCAACTATCTCCTTGCCTTGACGATGAAAGTAGTTTGGACGTCTCGAAAATCAAAGATTTAAAACTCTCCTCTAGAGAGAGGTCCTTGAGAAATACTCCAAAGTCGCGACCATTTATCAAAGCCAAGAAGAAAGACATAAATATGGAGCTAAGAAAAGCTTTTCTCAGGAAAACAGGTGTTTCTCGTGAAGGTACCAGTTTATCTTTGCCGACCAGTCTTCGATCAAGTCCTGAACCTAAAACCTGGTTCTGCTCAACGGAAAATATCTCAAGTTCGCCCTCTCGCATTCCACTGTCAACGAAGATTCCACAGCGATATCATAAGCTTTCAGAGCGATCTCAGTGTTCATTTAAAAATACAACAATCAGAAACCATCTTAATGAAGCCAAAAAAGTGAGTCGAATCAAGCATGAAAGGTTGTTCTCATCTTTGATCGAGGACAAAATGAACATCAGTGATGACTCTAAGTCTATATTAAATCAGTCCAAGCTGCCTGTGTATATGCCTTTGCGCCGAAGTAGTCTTGGCTTCGTTCCATTCAAGCCTGACATTCCTCCGAAGAAAAATAAGCCCTCCAGTCTTTGTAGACGTCCACATTTAAACAGTAAGAAGAGTGATTTACAGTTGAACATCAACGAACGAGAAAATCTGCCAAACTTTGAAACAGATCATCATAGTGACACAAGCAGTTTTGGCTCAAGTATTTGTACCAAAGAAATCGTAATGGATGAAAACAAGAACATGCAGTATGAGCTGCCAAACCTCAATGAAAGTTTCAAAAAATCTTTGCATGTGAGTGAGGAAGATGTCCCTCTGTCTCCAATTAATTCTAACATTGTTAATTGTACAACAAACGGAAGAAATATCAACAAGTCACAGTCTAGAACATCACTTCAGAACGTAAAAAATTTGCAAGAAACATGCAATGAAAGTATCTATCTACACTTAAGCCCGCCTTGCTCTCATTCAGATGTGGAAAGTTTGATCGATGAAAGTCCAGTTATCAAGAGCTCACCATTTCAAGCCAATTCAAGCCCAGGAAGGAACAGCAACATTGCACAAGTTCTTGATCGCACTCCCCCAACAAATTTTGCAGATTTGACAAATAATAATAGGAAATCTGCCTCTGGTGGTAGCCGAGAGTCTAACAGGTCACGAAAACAGCTGGACTTCAATCCGAAAAATGCTAAGACTCTGTCAACTAATAATTCCTTAAACAACTCATTTTGTGATACGATATCATTGAGTGGCTCGGAATTCAACGATGCCTCCGTTTCATCTTTCAGGGATAGAGAAAGCAGCATCCTCAGTGATGCTGAAGTTTCTGACAAAACTTTGTCAATTTTACTTCAAGAATTGCAGACCAAACATCAGCAACAAATGGAATTACTGAAACAGAAACAGATCGAGGAGCAAAACTTGTTGGAGCAGAAGCAGAAAAAAATCACGGAAACAATTCTGCTCAACTTGTCAAACGGACTTAGCTCATCGTCTACATCTCCAAAATCTGCTAAGAGTGAAAAAAGCGCTAAGATTCCACCCAGCTACGATGAAATACCGGTGAATCGGGGTATCACTCCTCTACCTTCCTCTGATTCGGCTAGTATGACTTTCTTCAGCTCAACGCCTGGTTTCAAACAAACCTCAAATTCTGGTCTTGCCATCACTCGTTACTCGCTGCCTCCCAATATGTCTAAGATGGTTCCGAACAAGATTTGGTTTATGAACAATGTTCCAGCCACTAAGTTTTATCCTAAGAAGAGCTATAATGAGCTTGAAATTGTAAGTTTTTGCATATTTTTGTTTGTAGATTTCAGCTTTTTTATGCTTTTACAGACGGAAAGAAATGAGTTACCTCCTATTTCTGTTCAAAATCAACTTTAGCTGTCAGTAGAACAGTAGTATGAAATTGCAATAAAATTACTTGATGTTGCAATCACAAAAACATTCATACCGTCTTGGCCGTTTTCAAATTTTTTGTTTGTATTACTCAGTGAAGGCTGTTCATTTAATACATAATCAGATTCTTTTACAACCCTCTTTCCATTCACATTACTTTTTCATTTTGAATTTTGGATATAAAATGCTACCTCGTATTGAGGTTTTCAAACAACTAGTGCTATACGCCCACTTAAGTGTTATAGAATGCTGTTTTGAACACCCCCCTTCTCTTCTGTAAAACACCTGTGGTGCAGACTTACACCATTTTCTTCTAGAGCGTCAAGTATTATATGAACTAAGTCTCCCAAAGCCATCTTAAAATATTTGTAAAAAGGAGAGAGAATCACAGAATTTTTTTATGAGCTGGTATAGAAAGTTTCTCTTCTAAAAAACAAAAAAGCATGATTGAATATTTTCAACCTCAGTTTCAAGTTAATATTGGATACTTTGATGTGATAATTTTAAAAACTATTTTCTTATACTAATCCTGCGTTACATTTTTTATTTCACCCTTATTTGCTTTCCAGAAAGCGGCAACAATCATTCAAGCTGGTATACGAGGATATTTTGTTAGAAGACTAATGAAAACAGAACGTGTTCAACTTTTAATTGAAATGATTCAAAAATCCATCAAATGTGCTCTTGAAATCCAGCAAGAGCCTTCGCCTACCCTAGCTGATTATGAGTTTCATGCGAGATTAATTCAGCAGGTAAATATATTTCTTGAAATCTCCTCTCTTCAACAATTTATCTGTATGACTTCTCCAATGAAGATGAAGATTGCTGATTCGATATATGGTGTAGTATGGCAAGATAAGATCTACACTTTGTTCCATTCCGAAACATCCTAACAATTTCTGTTTATGGTTGCAACACCGCAACCACTCTTGGTCATCGGCCAAGAAACCAGAAATACCATTGCCTTTGTTCTTCTTGATATGCCTAAAAGATTTCTGTCGTAGATCCTATTTTTCTCTTACCTAATCAATGTATTGCTAATCAACTCAGAATAAGTTTTCAAGTGCAATTCTAAAGAAGGGTTTCTAAAAAAACCAAAATCAAAGAACTTTAACAAATTATGACTGTCTTATTGATCAGTTCCAAAATATTGTGACTTAATTAAAAAAATTTAAAAATGCTTCGACCTTCTTTTTTTTTACAAATTCTTCAGAATCTCACTCTGAAACTAATATTGAATGAATATACATGAAATGAATCATTTTCTTCGTACTTAAAATGTTTAGTTTCTATTCAACAGTGTAGGTACTGAAAAGGTGTTAAAAGAAAGGTCTCACTAGTCCTGGCTTCCATCTGCATTGCGCATTACCTTAACTTTTCTATTTGTGAGGTCAATATGTGTTAATGCCGCATTCTTCAGGGATGCTCTGAAATAGAACAGAGTATAGTCATAACTTCTGGCACAGGATAATCATTTCAACCTTTCATGATTTTATGTCACAGGTAACAAAAGCTTGCTATGAAATTCATGAAATATTCATCATCTATCCCCAAACGGAAAAATTTGCAATAATAGCTGCTGACCGACTGAAGAAGTTTCAGAAACTAAACAACAGCACCCCAACAGTGAAACCTCTCTCTGCTGCAACTAGACGATCTTTGCAGAGAAAATTTTCCCAGTAAGCCCAATAAGTTTCATACCTTTACAGAGTTCCAATTGATATTCATTACTTACATTTCATACCATTTACTTTATATACCATAGTGACTTCTACTTACTTATGTAACCTCCTATTGACTTTTAATGACTCTAATGAGTTCTTGAGGTTAATTAGAAGCACACAGAAAAACTGTACAAAGTATGTACAGGGTGTCTATGAGTTCGTAAATTCCGGAAATATTACTACTTTTTTAAGGGCGATCCGGAAGTACTGATAAAGTGCAGAAATTCCCCAAGAAGGTCTGGAATTTTTTCCTTCGCACAACTCATGTTTTTAATTAATTCTGGAAAGTATACAATCCGCTGTCTTTTGATTCTTAGAGTATTATTTGCCTGCAAGATTGCGACTGTGTAGTCAGTTAATCTTTAAGCTCCCAATGAAATTGTGTGTCTACTTCATTTCTGTTGCAATGGACCACTAGACAAGGTATGAATTTCAGCATTCTGATATATGTTTCCTAACCAAAATTTCACGTAAAACACGATGCGCTCAACGAAAATTACCAAAATCAATACCTTACGAAGATATTTAATGATTCTTAATCCGTGAATTCAAACCACCCGCTCATGAAAACTCAATGTTCTGCGTGATTCACATCGCGCGCTAAACGTTATCACGACAGTCTCTACGATATAAAAATCTGGCAACCTCGATCTTAACGCTTTGGCTCAGCTGTAGCTAATTGCTTATATTTTGAAAATCTTATGGTGGGAAATGAACATTGCTCGATTGAGAAGCTTGCTGAAACCGTTGTAGTGCGCGATTTGACTCACGTAGAGCTTTGAGTTTCCCGTGAGCGCGCAGTCCAAATTCCTCGTAACCAATGTGTAATAAAAACGTTAATATCTTCGTTTAGAGTTACTTTTGGTAATTTTCGAGGCGTGAATCGTGTTTTACGTGAAATTCTGGTTAAGAAACATGTATCAGATTGCTTAAATTCGTACCTTGTCTAGTAGTTCATTCGAGGAAAAATTTCAAATTTCTTAAATTTTTTTTTTAATTCGTCAAATGGAGGTGCTGAAAAAGTACTGAATTTTTCTGTTGCGGAGGCACTAAGTTTCTTGGAAATTTACTTACTGAAAAAGTACTGTAACAGTACTGATTTTTGTCCAGCCTGATGTATATTATAGGTTTAGAGCTTTATTAGATGAGAGATTTTCAGTTTTGACTGCCGAATTTCAATGGAGTAGTGGCAAGGAATTTTTACAAGGTTGTAGTATACCTGCTCGTATTAGGTAAAATTTTGTGAAAAAACAAAAAGTCCTTTACTTAAAAAGGTCGAAAAAGCATTTTCAACATGAGATATAGACAAACTGATTGCGGTAGACGCATGAGGCGTAACACAGTGTGTTGGAGTTTTTTTTAGCCATCGTGCATTAAATTCAGCATCAAGCTAATATCTCACTACAGAGGAAAAAAAGCTCACTCACAAGCACAATTTTCCTCCGTAGTGAGATACCAGCTTTATGCTGAATTTAACTAATTCCATAGTCTTCTATGGAAATTGTAGAGGCTCAGAAATACCTGCAATTCTGAAAGATGGCAGCAGCTTATACCATTGTAGTTAAAATATACAATTTTCTGTATTTTATGCAACAAAGTTATTTCTTATACCAAAATTAAATTCTGAGGTCACAAAATTTAAACTCTTATGAAGACAAAGAGGAGTTTTCTTAAGTCATTGATATTATGTATTGAAATTATGAAAATAATCAGAAAATTTAAATTCATACAGACTCTAATTGGTCTCTTTCACTATCTTTTTCAGAAGTAGCAACGACAGCTTTGCTCAAGTACCAAAGAAGCCTTACCGATCACGATCTCACACTTTCACGTCCTCTAGTTATCATGGTAAGCATTATGTAAAGAGAAAGTTACTTTTTTCACATATTGTGAATGCAGCGCAGCACTCAACTCATCAATCTATCTACAAGTAATTTGTACGCCACCTGTCTGAATAAATCCAGAAAATTGGGTAGCCCAAAACCGATCCTTGTATTCAAATGAAAACCGAATTTTTGGTGAAATACAAAGACACTTAACAGCGTCAAATCGCTTCATCATGAGAAGCTATTTTATTACCTGATTTATTTTTTCGTCCTGGTTATCTTACCTGCACCAGTAAAAAAATCTTATTGAGACAATTAATCATCTTAACCAGAATGCCAGCACCGAATAAAATCATCATATCGGCCCCATCTGCGGAATTAAGTTAAATTAACTTTCATTAAAGATAGAGGATCTTATCATAATTGATTTAAAAGATCAACACTTACTTTAAGCTTTTTAATGACCTTGAATTTTCTAGGCAAACAGAGAATCCCTGATTTAAAACCACTTCTACCATAATAGGTATAAATCTATGATTAACTCCGCAGATTTCTGAGCATTGTCCAAAATAAATACCTAACCGATTAACTGTAAAATTTAATTGATTTAACCAGGTAAGATAACCAGGACGAAAAAATAAATCAGGTAATAACCTTTATCAAACCTGGTAAAATGGAAAACTCGCATAATTTTTTTAAGAGGCTATTTTATAGCATAGTTGCAGTCATTGCTCACAACTTTTGCAAATGTCAGAGGGTTTTTGTCATATGAGTTCATTAAGGTAGAAGGTGGTCCAAATTCTATAATTTTTGGATAGTGAGGATTAGACCAAAAAAAAACCCAAACCATTATCATTAATCAATTTTACTAATAAATTTAGAGGTCATCCCGGCTAAGTTAGTCTGTACTTAGGGGTCATACTGGTGTTTTCAAGGGCCAAAATGGTTTTTCGGCCGTAAATATGGGCAACAATCTCTCCCTGTACTCTTGTCTCCAAGCATCTGGTCTTTTAATTAGGACCTGTTAATATTGCATTCATAAAAGGAGCTCAATGATTGTAGTTAAGCCAATTCTGTACAATTTCGAAACATTTTATCTTCGTTTTTATTTTCAGAAGATCTCCCAAAGAAGAAGAGATATGTCCGATCTGCTACATCATTCAATTTAAAGAAATCTCAACGATCAACCCATGACACGAGAGTGACAAACGAAATGAAGCGCAGAGTTCCGTGGCGGTAATAAGCCTCGCAGCATTATACCTTCATCCTACCACAAATTTTGCATTTATTTTTATATTTTTACAATTTTATTTTCTCAATTTTCTTTTTCTTTATTTTTCAATGACCATCTCCAAACTTGATGATCCAATGGAGCAGCTCCTATCACACTAAATGGCTGATAAGTGCTTTATTTTTTCCTCAAACGATAACTGATTTAAAATTTATCATTCCTTTTCATCAGCTTAATTTAATTGTCATTCAGTTTTATTTCGTAATTTGTACTAAAGTAAAATAAGAGGGAGCAACAACTTATTTTTGAAGCCTTGTTTTTATTGAAAATTTATATGGAAGCTTCAGTGTATGTTCGCCATATTTTTGAGTGACATCTCTCCACATGCCTGGCTGTGAAGGTTTAACCTATCGTATCTAAGACATATCTACTCTGAAAAATGAATATTAATATTTTTGTAGTTCTTTTTCAGCCTGGAAGAATGAGAGTCATTAATTTGCTGTATTTTAATTATTAGGTTTTTTTTTTTTTTTTTTTTTTTTTTTTTTTTTTAGATTAAATTTTTCTTTAATTTAATACTCAAATCTTATTCTAATTTTTATTTGCTTTTGAGTCCAAGTATTGCAAAGGTTCATTTTTTCATACAGCATGTTTTGTTTCAATTAGCATTTTTAGCTTTGCTTGCAGTCCTATTATTTAAATTATCTGTTAGGTAGGAAGGTTAGTCCCTAGTTGCAAGAAGTTCCATTCTTAAAATGGAAGTATTAATCGACTGTCTCCATGACAAAGAAGTTTCTTGGAGTGAGATAATTTCTGAAATGTTTTGTTAAGATCTGAGCACCTGTTGCAAAGTAAAATATTTTCTTTTTGCTCAAATTCAGACGCTCCATATTGGATTAGATCATGAGACTTATTCAGGTATAATTGCCGTAACTTTTTATAGTTGCCTTGTCCACATTAATTGTTCCTCTACGAAGTGTAAAAATGAATGAGAGTTCCTTACTGATGATTTCTCACAAAAAAAAAAAAAAAGAAAACATGAGCCAGCATTTAATGTTTGCAATTATTTTTTTTTCTTTCTTGAAACTATTAAGCCGTCCCTCTTGAAATTGTGAATTGCATGCCTTGACTTACCTCTTTTAGAGGATAAAATGATTTGTTCAACCAAATGAACACTCTTATGAAGTGTTGTTTGGTTAGTTACCTTTTTTGTATGTATTTATTCCCTAAAGAGTCTCAGATATTTTTTGAAATTTCTTGTATTACTGAAAGAATCTGTCAGACATGATTTGTAAGGTTTAAGTTAAGATTTCACTGTGCAAAACAAACTCTGCTATTTGCAGCAGTAACGCTAAAACTACTTTCTAAATTTTGCATTTTATCCTCAGTTAACTGTCATACCAAAAAACATAATTCTGTTCTTAGTATTTCTTAGTAGTTAGATTCAAAATTTCCATCCAAATGAAATAAATATCTTGAAAACATTGAAGAAGAAACCAAGCATAAACCTAAAAAAGTTAGAAAAAAGCACTTGCGCCTGAGGAAAAAATGTAAAATTTGGAATACAGTGATAGCATTCGTTTCAGGATAGTAGCATGAGCTGCAGACATCTCCAACTTAAGTTTCAATTTTAGATCTGTGGGCTTACCTAGACTTTGTGAAATTATGTAAAATTCATTAGTAAGAGTTGCGGTTGACTTAATTTTTTATAAAATTCATTACCATTCCTTAATTGTTGCTTTTTATGCACAAAGCGAAGAAGTTCAAAAAATGGTCCATCTGAACTTCTTGTAAAGTTGTATTCTGATAATTGATACATGCAAAATTTAGGCAATGCATGTTGGCCTTTTGAAAAACATGGTAATGTCACAATCTTTTGCATAGTACACACTGTGACCATTGTACAATCAAATCAACGAATGAAGTCATTCACCAAGTTTTTCTAAAGGCAACATTTGCTCTAATTTGTGATGTATGAGATTATTGTTAATGTGATCCATGATGTAAGCCATCTGAATTTAATTTTTTACTGGATGCAACTAGGCTAGCTCAGCAAGATGGTAAAACTTCAAAAACATTTATCTTGATTTTGATGTTTCAAAGCCTCCGCTTCTATTTTATTTTTTGACTGTAAACCGAATCAACATTATGGCTTGAAATTTTCACTGATTATTCCTCACTCAGAGAGGAAGAACCAGGGAAGTTTCCAAGAAATGGCTTCGAGGAGTTTTTCTCATTCCAAAAATAAAATATGACTGGAAGCCGGCAATGCCGCAAACTAAGATACATGTTTCTGCAGTTTTGCCATTGATTATTCATTCCAAATTCTTGTTAAGAATTTTTTTTTTTTTTGACTTTGTAACAGTTGAGCTGCTTGAGATAGAAATTGAAAAAATATTTGAAGCTGTTACGTTTTATGAAGTGCTGAATTTTTTCGTAATTGCAGCATCAAGATTTTGACTTTATAAAATTATCAGGATGATAGAATTCTCTGTATACATGTAAGCAAATATATGACTAGGCATTGAGTAGGTGTAGAGAATGATTGGTTTTGATCCTTGAATCTAGGTTGATGATCTTAAGACTTTCAAGCAGTCATTATTATCAATGTTACTTACTTATGTGTAGATCAAGTATAACTTACCCATCAGCCCTCAACGATTTGTCAGAGGTTCCTTTTCTAACGCCCAGTTTTTAGGAGGGAATTTGCACAGATGTGTTAATCTTATATTTGTGGCTCTTAAAGCTCTTACCTCTGTGCAAGTTTGCGCTTAAAAATTGGACTCAAATCAGCTAGAGCTCATGTCAGATGAGTTGACTCTTGTTAACTTTTTACTTTGTATTTGCAAGTAACTGCGCTGCTATTGGCCACAGACAACAATTAAGGATTGACAGATGGCGACAACAAGACTGAGTGCAGATTTGTCAAACGGTCCACTGCGCATGACAGTTTCAACTCATCTGATGCAAGCCTCTGCCTGGTTGAATGAAAGCCGCTCCTTTGCCGTTTCGAAATGCTCAAGATTAATGTATTTTAATTCAGACTTTTTCATACCTCGTCAAGTAAACATGAGGTCTCATCCGGACTTTATTTTGCAATTAGGAACTAGTATTTCTAACTCATCTGTAAACTTCTTCTGTAACTCATGTACGCACCAATGGTACATGTTCTTCTAAACTGAGCCAGAAATTGTAGTTTCGAATTGCAAAATGTAGTCTGTCTGCTTCAAGTGTGCTTAACCTTGATCTCGATAATTTTGTTGTAAAAATACCGCTGATTAATTTCCATACTTCCCATACTTTTTAAGGTTGCTCGTACAAATTATCAACCTAGTCATTTTAGTCTTAATATGGCCCTACTGTGCTCAGTGAGCTTATCAAAGAGATTTTTTGGAATAGGAATGTAAAAGGAATAATTTGTTTTCTATTTTTTATGGATTAATTGAACAATAAATTAGTTTGATTAAAAATCTGAAGTTATTTTTCCTCTCAAATTAAATACATTACCAGTTGTCAACGGTGTCAAGTGCCAAAACATGACAACGTTCCTACTTTTGGTCAACAACCTTAGGTCGTCGCTTTTAACAGTACTATTAAGTAATTGTAATAATGAATTTTTCTGTTCACAATTAATCATCTCATAACTTAACAGAATTTCTCAGAAATATGCTTTTTAGCATTATGTGGAAATTTACTTACTAGGTTTCAATTGCGAGCAACAACTCGATGGTGAAACGTCAAAAACATGCAAACCCACAATCTCCACTCCTTTTTTACTTTTAAAAAGAACATCAAACCTACATCATGGCTGGAAATTTGCACAGGATATATTTTTCACACAGAGATGAAAAATAACAGAAGTTTTAAACAAATAACATTGAGTAGTTTTCCATTTGGAAAATACAGTATAACAGGGAGTTTGCACGCACTAAAAAACACCAAAATGCAAGAATATGGAAAAAAGTTGAATGTTGATTTAGCATTTATACTGTTATAAAAATGTGCATTAAGTATCACATGCTGATTTTACTTTAAAAAAAATGCTAACGCAACAATGAATTTGTTTATTTAACTGTGGATGTTAACCTAGCATGTTTTTTTTGTTTTTGTTTTATTGTAAAAGTACCGTTTATACTTGTCGCACATTTTTTTAACATTAGGTACAAATGCTAAAGCAACATTCAATTTTTTCCGTGAAACTATGATTTTTTCATTTAGCTATTGTAGAAAATGTTTGTCGATATTCTGAAATTTCATGAAATATTTCACATGGGATTCTAAGATTTTATTTGTTTTTATGACCTAAAAATCATAAAAAATTGCTAAACCGTTGCCTCCGTCATCCATGCGTATGTCTTTGGTTGCAGTCGCATGAACATGAAAATTGAACACTGGCAACCTGCTGGCAACCTTGGAAGTTGGAATTAACATAACCTCTATCCTGACCTAACCTCCACCTTTTGCTCCGGCAGTGGCCAACTCACTGAATTTTGCGTGCCCAATTTGTTGATTTTTTCTCTAATTTGTATCAATTTTCTCCCTGTCGCTATCAGTCAGTGATCCTAGAACTTAATTGTCTCGAAACGACACGTCAGACCTAAAGTTTCAGTTCATTCATGGTATGAGGTGTGTTTCGAATCTGAGCTCAAACAAGTTCACAATTTGACAGTAGAACTCTTGACAATCTTTCCTCCAAATCTTAATCTTCACCAGCCTATTATCCATCATGCCGCCTGTTGCTGCTGTTCCGAAACCTCGGGAAGAGGAACCTGCTGGAGTGAATGCTGTTCTTCTCGGGCCCCCTGGCTGTGGTAAAGGGACGCAGGTAAACACATCCCTCTTCGATTTGTTTAGCCTAGTTTTCACCTATACTCTAAGCCAACATAGATTTAGACATGCTGTTCAGTTCCTTAGATACACAAATATATTTAGAACGTTGTGAGACATCGGCAACATATTGGGCATTTCAAATCGGTGCTAAGCCAGAAAAAAGGAGGATGACCATGTGCAGTAAAAAGGGTCAGCACATGCATAATTTTAAGACTTGGAGAGTCACTTAATGATAAAACTAACCCTACTGATAGTGAGGATATTGCTCACTAGTCACGAATTTAGGTCTCAAAGCTGAGAGTTACTTAAAACATAGCGACAGTGTAAGTCTGCAATCGCACATCTCAATTGGTGTCTGAAGTATTTGCAGAATTTTTTTTGCACAGAGAAGCAAAATCACGGCAGTTTTAAAGGACTGCTGTTGAGTAGTTTTCCGTCTAAAAAATAAAGTCTCACAGGAAGTCTGGGACGGCGCAAATCGAGTTATGTGACTGCCAACTTACACCGTCGATAGGTAACTGAAAGCAAGTATGAAAGTAAAATAATCTACAGATTACTGATAGGAGAACTGAGAAAGTGACGTCACTCTTCCTGCCTGTCAAAATTGATTTTTCACACGAAAGGAAAATCGTCAAAGTTTCCAAGGAAAGACGTAGTAAGGTGCTCCACTGAGAAGATAAATAAAAATGATTGGAAGTCTGCCAGGCTGACACTAAGATTAACGTTTCTGCAGTTGCACCGTTGATATTCTTACATGATCAAGTAGTTCTTCTGTTAAGACGAGGACTCTTAAAGATAAGCCAAGAAAGTTGGTTTGTTTTCATGTAATGTAGCCTAGGTATGTGTGTGTTACTTACTTAGGTGATCAAGCTGCTGGTTTTACTTAGTAACCACTCAGAATCATTGATTCTCTCAGTTTAATGCATAAATCAGGTCAAAAACACCAACCAACTTTTATATTATGGCTAAGCTTTATGTGTTCGTGCATTTTGCTATCTAACTGCGCCTGCACTGATAAACGTTCATTACTTCAATGAAATTTTGTCCACAGGCCCCTAAATTGGTAAAAGAGTTTTGCGTGTGCCATCTTGCGACTGGAGACATGCTGCGTGCTGAAGTTGCTTCGGGCTCTCCTTTGGGCAAAAAAGTCAAGGAGGTCATTACCTCTGGTAAGATATGAAAGATATTCGGCTACATTTTAAATTTTAATTTATTTTAGTCAAAGCATATTGATACCAAATGGCTATTTTAATCCAAAATCATCAGAAAATGTTGCAGGTTTAAAAGTAACCCAAGTAGCACAATGAAAATATTTTATGAAAAAAAAAAATTAATGAAAAAAATTTAGAAAATAAAGAAGAAGTAGCTAGCATTATGGAAAGTAGACAGACAATTCAAAGTGAGTGTTACTATTTACCGAAGAAAATAGGTCTATTTCCTTTCTACAAAATGGATCTATTTTTTGTCTAGCAAATTGATAGGGCTATTTCCATAAGAAAAAATATCCAAAAACCTGATGGAAATAGAGTAAAATTGGATATTTTCCATTTCTTGGAAATTGAAAATTTGGAAAACAGATAGAAAAAACACAGAATGTAGACAACAAAATTGTCTGTTTCCCTTGTATTTAGTGTCCGGAACATAGACAGAAAATAGAAGTTTTTTAATAATTTTCTTACTTCTATTTGATACATCTATTTTCTTTCCATTTTCTTTCCATTTTCTTTCCATTTTCTTTCTATTTTATTTGTCTGTCTAGAAAGTAGACAATTTCTAAATTAGTGCTAGACAGAAAATAGAACCCCATGGTACTTGGGAAATCGAATGGACAATCCTCATCAATTTTTAATCGTGATAATTTACGAATGAATAGATCCTGCTTTGAGTGAAAAGTGAACCAACATTCTCTGAGCTATGAACACTAGGACCTCTCCATTTCCTCTTTCTTTTTGTTGTCATTCTTGTTAATCGCAATTTTACAGTAAATTTCTTTTCAAGTAAGTATGCAAGAATCGCACACTTTTGAGAATGCAAAATTAAAAGTATTTCCTAGAGCAGGTTCTGGCCATTGGCCAGCTGCTACCCAGAATCGGCTGTTTAAGCTCTCCATTTCTCAGCCTGTGTGACATACTGCACCCACTTGAATGACAGAGAGGTGCCAACTAGCAAAGGTCTCTTGTTAATGGCAGAATACTCCTCAACTTCTTTCAATAGTACAATTGCTCCGTCAATGGGAAGTACCTGTTTGAGGGACTAGCTCACATTCACAAGCGTATGTGCTAATATGACCTTGATTTTGAGATTGAAAATATTAAGGAAACAAGTGGAAATGGAAGGTTCTTTTCTCAACATTTTATATGGAAGAAGATCTGAAGAATCTGTAAGTGCAGTTCTCATTCCGAAATTATATTAAAATGATAAAGAACCATACCTACATCAATTTTTTTTTGTTTCAAAGTGTTAGATTGATACTCGAGTACAGTGGCAAACAACTTCTCCGAAGAGCCATGTGCAGAAATAAGGAGACTACTGAGGTTTCAAAAAAAGACTGTTAAAGTGAGAAGGCTGGCTCTCGTCAGCATGAAAATCATGCACTATTTGCAAAATTGTGGACTCTTTTTTTAATATAAGTTTATTGTAAAATTCTTAAAAAGAATTGTACACATTGTTTCTACTATTATGAGATTATACAAGCAACAAAGAAACTTGTAACTCATTTACCTGAATGAAAAATTGTGGACTTTGTTTGAAAAAAATAATTTTGATAAATATCGGTACAAACAGACTGCCTGCAAATCTGGCTGAGGTTTGTCAGGAGCCATTCAGGTTCATGTTAAATTTTAGGGGGGGGGGGGATACTGAAGTATTATTCATGTTTAGTATCCTTTTGTTTACTTTGTATGTTCTCCTCTCTTGGTGGTCTATTGAATCATGTTTAAACTATGTTTTCTTATTGTATTCTTTGTTTTTTTGCCATCTTGTTGAATCTTGATGTATCTTTTCTTTTTGTTTGGGTCTTTAGCCCTAAATTGTGAAATAAAAAAATAGGAGAAAATTTGGGCTTCTCTAAATGGGAAGGCAAAGAATTCCTCAAAGTAAAACTAGGATTTAAACCATAGTCAGAGGCAATATCCCAATATCTATATCCGCAAAATGTCTTGGAAAAGAAGGTTTCTTAAAATTGAGATTGCCTACTTCTATCGCAATTTTTTTTTTTTTCATTTCAGGTGCTTTGGTCAGCGATGACCTGGTCGTTGAGCTGATTTCTGCTAATTTGGAAAAGCCAGAATGTAAAAATGGTTTCATCCTTGATGGGTTCCCCAGGACCATTCCACAGGCAAAAGCTGTAAGTTTGTTTAAGATTGAGTGTTCCATGAGAAGAGACAACCTCAAAAATATGTGTAAAACAATGCATGTTACTTCAAGTTAAGCTCGTTAATTCTATTTATTCAGTATTTGGCTTTCTAGTTTGAAGGAGTACACCTGTGGTAATGGGCTAGTTTTGAAATTTCATAATTGAAAAGGGTTACCTACCTCCAGTGGAGGTGAAGTGATTAATTTATGAATCAGTGATATTGAAGGTGAAGTCATCGGCGATTAGGTGATGTAATCCTTTTCGATGGGCTGGTTTATATGGGGAATATAAACTGCTTTTTTATCTGCTACAAAAGCAATTTATCGGAGAGAATCATTTGAACTTGACAGTCCGTGCGGTTGCCTACTCCATTTCAATTTAGTATATTCATAACTCTGCATTATATTAGATCGTAAACATTACAAAGAGGCATACTTTTATCTCAATAAGGTTAATGGTCTTCGTCATATATACTATCTCTTGATCATCGGTTTATTCTTTGTTTGCGACTTTTCTCGATGGCAAAGAACACAGAATTATTTTGTTAAATATTAGCAATAAATAAAAAATACATCGGAAAGTTGAGTGTATTTTTTTTTACAAGCTCCTGCATATATCTGCTTTCAAAAAGATCCTGTATACGTGTTCAGCACTTTCATTTAATGTATCAAATTTATTTTTTTTAATAACCTACAGGGATTGTGCTGAAATTTATGAAATAAGGGAGATCCTGTTTTAGTATATCAATTGAATTATAAAACAAGATAGCATTTTACTTGTTTTTTCTTCTTCCTTGTCTTCTTTTTGAGAAGTCCAAAAAAATTTTGTGATACAGTGAACACAATGGTCATCAAACTTGTCTAAATACCGTAAGAAATCAATTTTCCATAGGTTTTGATTTTATCATTATGTCACACATAAGGTTAAGTGGATATTTCTATTAATAATATTGTTTTCCATTTCTTTTTCCCAGTTGGATAAGTTATTGGATAAGAAAAATACCGCCCTAGATGCTGTTGTTGAGTTTAGTATCGATGACGAATTGCTCGTAAGAAGAATAACTGGCCGCTTAGTCCATCCTGCCAGTGGACGCTCGTATCATGTAGACTTCCATCCTCCAAAGAAACCTATGACCGATGATGTAAGCAAAATTATCTACCGCTCATTATTAATTTCTCATTTAACTGTTTTCCAAAGTATTGAAAGTATCATCCTGAATGAGTAACAGAATGCTGAAGCACCTCATTGCAGTTTTAATTTCCCGAAGTTACATTATTTTAGTAGTAAAGTAAGTTGGTCACTCCTCTACCAGGTTTGAAGCTAAAATCTTGATTATATATGTATTGTTTGATAATTTTTCTCACTAGTCGATGATGACTTGCTAAGTCTGAAATCAATTTCTGCAAGTTACAAGGTCGTTGGATTTGATCACTCCATCACAGGGTGTCAAGCAACTGGTGAAGTCAGGGAGAGACAGAGAGTAAGTATGGAACTGAAAGAATTGCAAAGTCCTGCGCATGAATGTCTTTTTTTACGTAACTTTACAACGCTTCTATACTGAGCCTTGTAACGCTTTCTTCTGGTCTGTAGTGAATTTTTCTCTCGGAAATTTCAGCCATTTCCTGATCTGTTTAGGCACCTTGCATTGAGTTGTATTTTTTTTTTTTTTGAGTTGAAAAAAGAAGAAGATTAAGAAGAATCAGGAAAAGTTAAGGAGTTGGAAAATCTAAGGATTAGGGGAAAAGGGAAGAAAATTGTGCCAGCTACCTTTCTTTGTCTCAGGTGGGACAGGCATGCAACTTAAAACTTGAAATTTTCACAGTTGCATTTAAAACTCCCAAAAATAAAGTATCAGAGCAAACAGAACTTTGCCTGTAGTTGATATCCCAGTATTTGAAGTAGATTTTCAATAAGTACATCTACCTTTGTAGAATTTTAAATGAAAATGCTATTTTCAGTGGGACTTATTATCCCTCAATTTTACAACTCCAGGTAAAAAATAATAAAACACTGCAAGTAAGTTAACAGGTTGAAAAAAAATTGCATTTTACTTCTCAGAGTGAAAATTTTTACCTTCATTTTAGTTTCATTTATCAGCAACATTTTCTCACATCCATGAAAGGCTATAGTTTAATCGGGACAAAAAATGTTTCGAGTAAGTCAAATTTGATTTCTTGGTTACTACTTGTCTACTTGATTACTGGATTACTGCAGAGGTGCAGGAAGTGCTTGATCGGCTGATAAGAGAAGAATTGTAAAGGCGCCTCAAAAAAGGGCCAAATATGAAGGCAGAAGGCATTTTTGCGAAGGAAACCATCACATGGGTTTCTTTGGTTTTAGAAGAAAACTACTAAGAACATTACTTTTGGTGAAGAAAATTGTGTTACATGCTTTTTCATTCAAAGAAAATACTGAGGCGCGCAGTCTTATGTGGACAGCAATGTGAAGACAGCCTCAAAAAATGTGAAGGCAAAGAACTTACTGCACCGTTGGATTAGTTGATTATTCGATACTTAGAAGTGTGCGATTTGCCCAGTTTTCACTTAAACCATAATTAAGAAAATTTGAACCAACTATCAGTCAAAATTAAGTAGGTTTAAAGCCATTATTGAGCCAAAATGCGACTCAAAAGTTGAGCATTTTTGTGTTTTGAGTTGGACATCTAAAATCGAAATCAAGCTTTTCTTTGGAACATTTCCAAAACATTTGATAGGATCAAAAATTTTCTTATGTCCTTTCTCATGGTTTTTTATCGTAACGTCTTTATCCTGAACTTTTCCTGATGTTTTTGTCCTAGAGGAAAAATCAAAACAGTCCTTTGTCCTGGTTTCTTTGCAATGGAAGTACCCCACGTTTATAATACCAGCCTACTCGATCTTGTGATAGAGTGAAACACTTTTTACTAGCTTACCAGAAACTAGCACTAAAATCTACGCCAAGAGCAGTGGCGGCTGAGGTTTGGAGTCAGTGGCTGGCGTAGGGCATTATGTAAGGTTAAACCTGAGGTAAATTAGTTAATTCACAAATCCCAAGGTTGCCAAAGCCAATCAACTTTTAAGTAATCGAATGAGCTGCTGACGTGACTCTGCCCCTCAATCACCTTTTCTCAAGGCAGAGTTGCCATGATGAACTCTTGGGATTCTCATGCAGTTTTCAACAATTGTATTTTGAGCATCAATCGTTAAATCAATGTTGCATCAAAAGTTCTTTTGCCTGGCAAAATTTGCTCAATACTTTTCATGAATACTCCATGTTTGCAAAAATACCCTCTCTCTGGATCAGCTATTTCATGCTATTTACTTTATCCCTTATTTCCAGGTCACTGGAGAGCCGCTTATCAAACGTGCAGACGACAATGAAGCAACATTGAAGACACGTCTTGCTACCTATCATAACCAAACCAAACCTCTGGTTGATTACTACAGTAAAAAGAGTGAGTTTTTTAATCTACAATTTTTTGTAGTCTAGGTGCATTCAGTCATTTTCCATGCCTCTCAAGCAGAGTGGAAGGCTGAGAGGACGAGTAAATGAGACGTAAAAATTTCCAAGATTTATGTGCGATCTCATATTTTCATGCTTCTTGAGTGAAAAGGCAGGTTTTTTGGCTGTCTAATAATCCTGAAAATGCAGAAAATAAGAAAATGTGGGAGAAAAACTTTGGTTCTTCGCCAAAGCTAGCTCTTAAAAATCAGGGAATTAGCATAATTAAGAAAATTAGGCACCATGAAGTCTGACAACAAAATCGAGAATTGAGTTCATTTAAATTTTTATCAAGATAGCTAAACTCGCAAATGAGATGTCGTAACTTTAATTTTTCAAAGTTCATGGTTATACTTTATTCTTTAGAACGAAAAAAATATCTAAACTGACAAACTTTGAAACAATGCAATTAGGATATTATCTGCACTGTTTTACAGTCTAGTCACCAAACTGTAATTTAACCATAGAGTTCATAGATAATCTTCATAAAATATTACATTGATCACTATGTTTAGCTGCAGCATGATCATTTACTTTTGATATCTATTGACCTTGATGGATACGCGCTGTGCTTCTATTGGATTCATTTCGTAGCGACCATAGACTTAGCCCAGTAGATACGCCTCTAGATACAGCACTAGATATTTATCCCCCACACCGGAGGTGGTGGATAACTAGCTGTATCTATCGATATTTGAGGTTAGGTGGTCGATTTTATAGTAAAACTGGTTGTTTCTGCTGATTAAGTTCAAGTTAATCTTTTTACTGGCACGAGTATTAATTTCATTACGAACATACTCGCAAACCGAACAAATATTACACTTTGATAATTATTTGAAAAAAAGAACAAAACTTAAAATAATACATTTAAAAAATAAATTAATTTGTTTTACACGTTTATAAGTCAAAATTATTGATATAGGTGAAATATAACCTCAAAATACAATTTTGAAATTCTATTTTAAAAAGAAATAAATTAAAATAGTATGGATTGAAATAAGACGATATATTTTTGTATTTCCCGCGAAAACCACGATAAACTACGGAAATCGTGCTCCTAATTTTCCGTGCATTTGAGGTCATGGTGTTCACATTCATGCGCGCAAAGCAACGCGCAAAGTCACTTCTTCTTCTTCAGAGATGGAAGGATGAGCTGTGATTGGTTGAAAAGAAAAAAATATTTTCAGTTAGATCGCGAAACACCGCGATCCGTATCCATCGTACCTCTAGATAAACTTATCCATCTAGAGCTCATCTAGTGGTCTAGATACGAGGTAAATGGTCGCCAACTTATCGAGCGGTAGATCACCAATAGATGGATACGTCGTATCCATCACCCGTATCTAGCAAAGTAAATGATCAAGTTGCTGGCAGGCATAGATTCTAAGAGTCCACTGGATGAACTTTATGCTGTAAAAGCATTATGGTTTTGTTTCTTTTTGAAGTACTTAAAATCATTGTTCACCAGGTACAGTCTCTTTAATGATTTCAATCAATTTCCTTATTTCTACTTTTGTAGATATTCACCACCGAGTGGATGCATCAAGGTCTAGCGATGAAGTTTTTGGAATGATTCGCAACATTTTCCTCAAGTGTTCGATTGCTCGGAAGGATCGTTTTTGGCTTTAAAGAATAGTCAGCATTTCTAGACATTTTAGCGGCTTAATACATATCAGTTTGGTAAGTCTTTTCAAATTTCTTTCTTTATTTATCTTTCTCGAAAAAAAAGGTGCTCCGTACATCAGATTAATTTTGAATTCTTGACAAACGATCTGACATTCTTAAAAGCATACCTACAGAACTAAAGCTGGTGATAAAACTGCACATCAAAGTGAGACAGTTGTTTCAAGTATTTGCTGTTAGCTAAGGAATAAGTTGCAAGTGATTTAGCTCAATTTTGAGCTGAAAGAGGCTACTAATTAATTAATTTACGTTTTAATCAATCAATTTTAAGTCCAGCAGCCTGATTGTTGAAATTTTGTGTTTGTCGGGTAGGCATAGATGACATAGGTTAATAGGCGGAGCGTGATTGGTTGGCCATGTCTTATCACTGCTTTATCGTTCCTTTGTCAGGTGGAATGGACAACATACTGTCGGAAATTTAAGAGGTGCCTTTAGCTTGCCATGAGTTCCACCCGACATAGGCATGTCAAAGCAGCGATAAGACATAGCCGACCAATCATGCTCCGCCTTTTAACCCATGTCATCTATCTCTACCCGACAAACACCAAATTTAGTTAATCAGGCTGATGAACATGACTTTTCAATTCTTTTCGGTGAACTACGATTTTCAAGTCAGGTTTGGTTTGACATTTTCGTACTTTTCTGTGCCGAAATATTTGTGAGCATCTGTATTTCAGTTTTGAATGTTTTGACATCAAGGGCCTTTTTCTTGTACATGGTTATTCATGAAATACATATCAATAAAATGGAACGATGTGTGCAAGGAAATGGAATCTCAGCTCAAACAATCATTATCTGGATGGACTCTTTCTCCATTTCTATGAAAAACGTAATAAGTTGTTCGTAGACCTCTGCAATTAAGGATTTTTCAATTCGATGACAATTAACGAAATTAATCGCGATTACGATTACGATTAAAATTAGGAAAAAACTGAAAAAGTAAAACAGAGGGCGATAATTTTCTCTTTTTCTTTTTTTTTTTTGTGACTAAAAACGAACTTATTTTTTGGCTTTCATTACGTCCGTTATCCCGCCAACTATTTAATTTTTATTTTATTTGATGCACTGCCAACCTCTCCAATCAAAAGTATTCAAAAAACCTTTATCATCGACATGAAATCGCGGCACAAGCCCGATGGGGATATTTTCGTGGGGTTATCACTATTTTTAGTACGAGATTTTACGGCTAGGGGCTAGCAGCGCGCCTCCGTAGATGTGACGCAAATTCGAACAAACGCAGCAGGAATTTCAAATTTAAAATGCGGTGCAAAACTGGACATTTCGTGAAGTCAAATTAGTCAAATCAATGACGATTAATTCCAAAACCGATTACGATGAAAAAAATTAATCGCGATTACAATTGACGTTCCATTCATTGCACAGGTCTGCTTGTTTGTTGTTGTTTGCCGTTTTATATCTTTAATTCCTTCTCTATTATGCTAGTCTAAAGCAGATTTTATTCATTTCAGGTTACTGTAAATCGAAGATGAAACGATCTGTCCAATGGATTTAATTTTATGTGTATCTCGGTGAATAACAAACACTGAAGGGATTTGGATCTAGGCTTTGTTACTAATTTTGAATAAGTAAATGGTATTGAGCTCTGTGGGAAGAACTATCCGTGAACAATTATTTATTTATGATATCCTTTATGGCATGATGTTAACCAATTGAGAATTCATAATACTTTTTTATCCATATCTTTTTTGTGATCTTAGTCAGTTTTTTTCTACAGATCATGAGGAAATGAGTGCGCCATGCTTTTCTCACCATCAATCGCTTTTTAAAAACGTTGATTCTCATTATTTGGAAAACAAAATTTCTTTCTGTTTATAACTTCACTTGTTAGGAACTTATTCACCTCTTGCACTGATTTTTTTTTTTTTTTTTAATATTAAAGATTGCACCCGATTATGTCTTTTAAATTTGTCTAGTAAGAATCTTCTGACGACTAGTCTCATTTTGTGTCAGGTCTCTTTTAAATCCGCCTGTTACTGTAATGGTTTTTGGTTTTTTTTTTTTTTTCATTTGATGGAAGATCAAGGATTCTGGCATTCCTCATATTTATTTTGATTTTTCATTAAGCTTTTGATTCGCCAGTTAATTTGCATTTTCGGACTCTACTTATTGTCTTTGAAGAGGGCGTCACCGGTTTATTTCTCCTAATTTTTCATTATTGTCTTTATTTCTGTTGTGTCCTAATTTTTAATTTTAAAGACGCAGAGTGAGTGAAAAGAGAGAGTGGAGGTTAGTGAAGAAATCACAGCAATTTTTTTAATACCGGTACCATAACCGAGGTCAAATTCTTATAGAATTCAGAAGTATACTTACAGCATTATACAGCATGAATGTTCTGACTCCTAAGTTGTCAGCTCTCCAGAAAATTCTGGAGCCTTAAGGCAAATTTAGTCTCATTCATGACTTTTTACCATTGCTCCTCAAGAAAGTTGCCTCTTGAGAAGTTCTGAGGTAAAACTGTAACTTATTTCTCAGACTTTTTTCTTTACGGCTCGTTTTCATGGGATTTGTCTGAAGTTCGAATGGCAGGAATGATTCCAGGATTTCTCCCAGTTACCATCTCCACAGGACAGGGCTCTCACATTCCTGAGAGAAGTTGGGACAGGAAGATAACTCAAGAAAAATTGAGTATTTAATTGGGATCAATATAATAATTGAACACGATTAACATTTTAACAAATTATGTTAAGTAAACAAACTTGAGCAATCAAGTAAACAAGAAAATATCGCCCAATTTGCTTTTACTTCTTCTTCCCCTCTCAGTTATTCTTAGATATATCTACAAGTGGTACAAGGACATACATATTTGGTGCTGGAGAAAATATTGACCAACTCAGTATATTTCCTGACTTCGCAAGTCGGATTTTTACCCGGGACAAATTCTCTGAAAACGTCCTGTAGAGGCAAGGCCTCTGAGAAATTCTCTTGCCAGCTTCAAATTTTGCCCTGGACAAAAATAGTCCTCCATCCCCAACAATCTGGTTTGACTTGAGTCCAAATTGCTAATGACGTATCTTTGAATTCGTTAAAATGAAGTCAAAATAGTTTGGAAATGATAAAGACAGTAAAATAAGTATTATTTTCAAGATGGCTGTTCTGTTAATTTTGAAAATTTTAAGTCATTTTTTCTTCCTCCTTCTTTTCTTTATCCCCCCCCTTCCCCCCAAATTAGCTTTAACAGTGATCTTCTTGATTTAACCATAGTTCCAATTAAGGTGATTTTCCTTTTCGTTCAATATTTATCGAACATTTTGAGTTCATTAGATACTACTGTTCACCTGGGACATATTAATAATCCAGTCTGAAGTGTGTTTCAAAACTTGTTCATCACCGCACAAAAAATATTTTTCATAAATTGATATTGCATTTATCCTTTGTTTTTCCATTGAAGAGGCAATAGCATTTCAGCCTCTCTTTGTCTCTTGATCAGCATTTTTCTCTTCTTTTTTTCATCTTAGTGTTGCAATCTCCTTTTTTAAGCCTTCTAAAAAATATTCATGGCTTTTAAAATTCATCACCTAAAATTACCTCTAAGAACAGAATGAACTACGGAAATCCGTTTTTATCCAAACACTAATGAACTCCCTAAATTTATAATCTTGCTAATATTAAAATGCTCAAAGATAAGTACTTTCTGTGGAAAATAGTTTAATTTTTTTTAAAAAGAAAAAGCTGAAGTACTATTAACAGAAAATTTAAAACTTGAAAATCTACGGGAAACCATGTTTTTACGATAAAAAGTGTTGCAAGTATCAAACATTTTTGTATTGTTTTTAGAAAATCAGCGCCAAGTTTGGAGTTAGGAAGACACACTGATATCATTGATGATCAGTCTCTTTTTGACTGTCTGACAAATCCTTTTGTCATGACGAGTGCCAAATAATTTCCACTATTTTCTCTTCATCATAACTGTATCTTTCCCTAACCTACCTTTTTACTTGTGTAAATAAGTTTGCTAAGAATTAGGATGTTACAAACGTAAAAAAAATTAAAATTTTAGTCACTACCTTTCACAACTCTGCTTAGGTTAGGCTAGGCACTTTAGTGGTGTTGGTAATTTTTTTCAGGCACTGGCACAATTTTGTTCGGTGTCAACATCTCTTTTTTTCTATGGAAAGTTATTACATGTTTCAAAGAGGAGAGAATGAATTTTGCTCATAAATAACGCATTTATTGCATCACTCTGGAAGATTCAGTCTGTTTTGCTCAAAAGCAAGTTCCCAGCAATTTTTAACAATCATTATTTGCTCAATTCTTACTCGGACAGAAATGACCTAACTCTAATGCTTACCTCTAAAACACTGTGTCTACTATCTTTTTCGCGTGGATGTATGCATTTGCCTCCCTTGTGCTAAACTCGGTCCACTTTTCTGTCCATCCTTTTTCTGTTACATCTAATTACCTGTGTCAGCCTGATGCATTTTTTTTAAATGGAACTTTGCGTTAAAAAATTTAGCACTAAGTATTTGAAATCAAGTAAAGCCGAGAAATGTGAATTAGTAGGCAATATTGTTCCGAAAATTTTGTAAAAAGGTTTATTTTTGTGTACAATAAATTCTTGTTTTTTTTGGTATCATTCACATTTACATTAATTTCTCAACCTCGAGTAGCTCCTGTAGCTCTTGAGTACCTACATCCTGTAGCTCTCGAGTACATCAACTGAGAAACGCTTGCACAATTTTGAAAAGGAGTTAAAGCTGCATAAGAGCAACGGTTCTCTAACTTTTCTTTATTTGGTCCAGGTGGATAATCAGTTTTAAACTCTTTTTAGTGAGAATTTTCTCATTTAAAATGAGTTAGAGATTAATTATCCGCCTGGACCATGCACAGAAAAGTTGGATTGAAGGAATATCTACTGAAAATGAGATGACGTAAAGACCTACTTTTGGTACCTCCTTTCCTGGTATTGTCATTGAAGAAACACTCAGATTCATAGGTCTTAAGTCAACAAAATAGATCAACCACCTAATACATTTATCTGTCTAATATAGCCATCCTGTTGAGGAACTCCCTGTCCATCTTTCCTTGTATATTCATGAAAATTACAAAAATTCCTAGTCTGCTGAAAATTCGAATAATTTTCCTATGAATTACTGTATCTTTTTTTGAATATGCTAGGATAGCAGGACAGGCCGTGGGTCTTCTAACCATTTCATTCACTTATGACCCCTGAAGCTGAGTGTTTTTTCGTTGTGAGTATCAGGAAAAAATGCAAAGAGGGCACTTCTCCAGCACAGTGATTTTTTAATTATGAAGGATAAGCAGTCAAACTGCCGTTTCTTTACACAAATTTTTCCCTGTTAAGAGTAAAACTCTCAAGGAAAAGTAAGATGTCAAACTCTCCACCGTTTCAGACTGTTGTGGCTTGACCACTTTCTGCTGAATTTAGAGTCCTCGCCAAGTAAGTTTTCACACATTTAGACTGCGACGGAAGATCCACCATCTTGATTCTTGCATTAACATTCAATGCTAAACTGATGTTGCACGATCTTCTGTTGAAGTCTGAAAGGTTTCAGGACATTCCGTCAACGACTTTTTGTCCGTGCACCTCCCTTTTTCAAAATTCTCTGTAAAGACGTTAATAGCCTGTGACGCTGAATGTCTCAAAATATACTAACTAACTGTTTTGTTCAGTAGTATGTGTGCACGCATAAATAAGCAATGGTGACTTGGTCCAAGCGTTATATTTTAGTCTGTGTGTAAAATTATATTGACAATATCGAAATGAGAAAATTGAGAGATAAGGAGGTGTTGATATGGTAACTCATTTTTTAAATGATATGTTACTTTCTTCTTTTGATTCATCTTTTCAAATTGTCATTGGTGAATATTTTGTTTTATTTCTAATCTTTTTTCGATGTAAAATATATCATATATACCTCTTTTTTTTAATAAAAGTATTAGGTACTTCATTTTGAAGTCATTTACAATTTTAAAAAATGGCAAATATTTGTAAAACTATTCCCAAGCGTTGGGATCGATATTAATATCATTGAGCGGTAGTTGTATTGAAAGATACTTTACAAAAATGAATAAAAGAGGAAAAAACCAAAAAGCTCGCTATCTTTGGTTTTAACCCATTTGTAAGTCAATCTTTTAGAGTCACGTACGTCCAATTTTGAGGATTTGAAGGCATAAAGAAATCTTTACTATATCGATGTTATGGTAATTACAATTTGACGAATTGACTATTACGGAGCTTGCAAATTGCCGGCGATTGCTGACTCCCTGCGACTTATACACTGATAAATATTTCAGAGATAACAAGGCGCATACAGGCAGTTCTTAAAAAAAATTGAGATAGTCTTAATTTCAAGTAAAACTAGTCTTGATGCATATTCCGTGAAAAATTCGCTCCCAAATTCCAATTTTTAAGCATCACAATGTCTGTAATGTTTTCTGTATCGAATGTGAGGTTTTTTTCCAAACACTATTTTGCTTTCATTTCTCTTAATTTTGCCAATTTTTGGGTTTAGAATGATTCTTTAGACTCATGCGCAGGGGCTATCGTCCTTTTTTTTGCTGAAAATTCAAAATCTGCCGAGATGTTTTATCTAAAAGATAAAAAAAAAAGCGACAAAATTGTATCCAAAAATGGTTTGCAGGGGGCGAGTCTATGGTACGTGTACACGCAAAATTGCTAAAAATCAAAATCTTGACTGATCCTTTTTTCGAAATACGCGATTTGAGATTTTCATAGTAAATGCAACTTTTCCACTGATTTTGATCCGATTTTGTATTTATTTGTACATTGAATCGGTGTTGATCGGTTAACGTTTTCATTTTTCGTTCGATTCATGTCGATCATACATACCCTCTCGTTACACGCACACTTCCTTTCATACCCTTTTTTTTTAACTGAAAAATTCGTCTTCAGCTGCGTCTGCGGCAAATGTTGTTACGAATATGTTGTGCGTGCTGGTTTCAGGTCATTACATACACGAATCTCTGAATGCGTTTTATGTGCGAGAGAAATTCGCCTTCAGCTGCGTCTGCAGCAATTGTTGTTACGAACATGTTGTGCGTGCTGGTTTCAGGTCATTACATACTCGACTCTCTGAAGGCGTTTTATGTGCGCAAGTGGCGTACCCTGTTGGAGAACTGGCGAATTGCTCTCGCACACAAAACGCCTTCAAAGAGTCGAGTATGTATCTACCTGAAACCAGCACGCACCGCATACTCGTAACAACAATTGCCGCAGACGCAGCAGAAGGCGAATTTTTCGGTTAAAAAAAAGAGTATGAA